AGTCTACCCGGCATTACTCCCCAAGGCTTCCTGCATCTCCCACTGGTATTACCGCATCCCCTCCTTATAATAGAGTATCTTTCGCTACAATGGGCGTAGTAGATGCCCCAGATGAATCTAGAGCGAGTCGTGCACCAGGTGGGTTTCACATGTATAACATCAGCGAGATGGTGCATGTAATGGGCAAAAAGAAGAAAATGCCTACAACTCTAGGTATCAACATCGCTACAGGTACAATCTTGATCGCCCCAGAGCAAGCCCGAGATGGACCAGAACAAACTTGGACAGCGGAGAAAATGACGCATTATTCATTGGAAGGCAAGCACGTTTTCATGGAATTAGTACGCCCCACCAAGAGTATTGATTTCCACGCCGGGGCTAAAGACACCGCGACGGAGATTGTGAGTGCCTTGGGAGAACTTGCGGGTGCTGTTCGAGCAGAAGGATTAAGAGAGGTCATCGCAGCAGGATCTGGATCTGGTCAGAAGAGAGGACAGGTTCTCTACGATTTCGTGGCACAAGGAGAGGACGAAGTAGATGTGAATGTTGGGGATGAAGTCGTTATAATTGACGATATAAAGAGTGAGGAATGGTGGATGGTACGGCGGGTCAAGAACGCGAAAGAAGGAGTTGTTCCAAGTAGTTACATCGAAGTTGTTGGTACAATACAACCACAAAGTTCGGCTGGAATAAACGCGGGGCGATCAACCGTTGAACAAAATAGACTCGAGGAGGCGCGTCTAGCAAGGGAAGCCCTGAAGACAGCGAAGAGAGACGAGGTTGAGGTAGGCCCTGGAATGCGACTACCCGAACGGGGTAGCAGTCTATATGCTCGTGACAATGGTAACCAATCTGGGCAACAGAAGAGACGAGATAATGGCCGAGAAAGCAGCTCTTCGAAATCTTCGAAATCCAGTAAGTAACATTTCTATCCGGCGCAATACATTGTAGCTAACAATCTATAGAACCTGATCCTGCCAAAGTAAGAACTTGGACGGACCGCTCGAAGTCCTTCAGTGTTGAGGCACAATTTTTAGCGTTGAAAGACGGTAAGATAAATCTTCACAAAATGAACGGCGTGAAAATTGCTGTCCCAGTTGTCAAAATGTCAGTTGAAGATCTGGAATATGTTGAACGAATGACGGGCGTATCCTTGGATGAAGATAAGCCGTTATCAGACATCAAAAAGCAGCAAAAGTCACGAGCAGCCGAAAGACAGCCGAGCAACGGTGCAAGTATCGGCGCAAGCATCGAACGTCCAGAGTATGACTGGTTTCAATTCTTCCTCTCCTGCGACGTTGCGGTGGGTCTTTGTGAGAGATATGCACAAGCATTCAAGCGAGATTCTATGGATGAGAGTGTTTTGCCTGATATTGATGCCACTGTACTCCGGAACCTTGGAATCCGCGAGGGGGATATCATCAAAATAATAAGATTCATAGACAAGAAATACATGCGGAAAGATGGGAAGCGAAACGTCAGCCTTGGTGACGATGAGGGTGAGGCTGGCCTCTTTTCTGGACCCGGTGGTACATTGAAAAATAATACCCGAAAAAGTCGCCCCGCTCCTGCTGTACAAACTAATGATGTGGTGGATGCGAACGCCTTTTCGCAGAATGGTTCCGAGAAGTCATCCCCTCAAGGTGTTGCCACACCCCTTGCAACTGCTCCAACTCCAGCAGGAAAGGATGTCAAGCGAGGAGGGTTCGATGATGATGCATGGGACGTTAAGCCATCAAAACAAGAAGCCACAAGCAGTGCGCCTGTCGAGTCTACACCGGCTCCAGCTCCCGCTCCACAGCAGCCAGCTATCACTGGCTCGATGCAAGAACTTTCGCTGTTGTCCACTCCTCTCGAACCAGTAAAAGCACAGCCGACTGCTCAAGCAACACCGCAACCTCAAGGCCCACCTGCCGTCACTCCTTCAATATTTGCTGGAATTGGAAATCAACAAACTGGGCTCCCTCAACAGCAACCTGCTCCTTCTGGGCCTTTGTTCCCAGCAAACTTAGCGCGTCAACGTCCTGGACCCCCTCAAATGGGCGCAAACACGACTCTAATACCACCACTTCCTCCTTCGCGACCTTTATCAGCTCCTCAAGCTGTGAGCGCTTACGCCCCACCTCCACTTCAAGCTCAAGCTACTGGGTATGGAGCTTTCCAACCTCAAATTGCTCCTCCTGGTCAAAGTCTGCATGACCTCAATCAACAACGCATGCAACAGCAGCAACAGCAGCAACAGCAAATGCAACAACAACAGTTTATGCAACAGCAAACTGGCATGATGCAACAACAACCTACCGGATTCAATCAATTCAATCCTGGAGCACCCAACAACTTTCAACAATTCCCCATGCAAACGGGCGCTCCTCAGCAATTCATACCGAATCAAACAGGTACACCATTTTCAAACCCTCCAGTACAGCCATTCCAACCACAACCACTTCAACCTCAAGTTACAGGCTTCCAGAGTGCATTCCCTACTGGGCAACAATTCCCTCAACCTACCGGTGTAAACTCATTCTTGCCTCCTGCCATGCAACCTCAGCAAACAGGCATGATGAATGGAACAACAAGTTTTGGTGGCCAGAATTTCCCTGCACAACCGGCTCCACCTGCGCCACAGCAACATCCATCCCCATTAATCCCTCAAGCGACCGGGCCAGCACCACCAGGTAATTTTTTTCTTCTACCATACTATCATATGAACCTGCAACTAATTTGTTTTCAGTTCGTTTTGGTCTTAATGGTACTAATAGCATCGCGCCACAACCCACTGGCAGACGCGCGAACCTCTCACAAGCCAGTAAGTTCATCTCTATGTCTCCATCAATTTCAAACACTAATGCAACACAGCTCCTCAAAATCCATTTGGATTCTAAGTTGGCAGGAAACAAATGTACACTTTACCCCGGCTATCATTGTATTTCGCGTTGTAAAATAGGTGGATAGGCATGCATAGCTAAGCATCGAGATGTTAATATCTTTTTTATTTTACTTTGACAGAAATTCGTTTACGTGGTCACGTATCCGTGGCTATGGATATATTGGGAAGGGCGTAGCGGAGCCTATAGGAGAGAGGTTTATATCGATATTATATCATATCTAATTGATCAATTTATTTGAAGGGGGATAAAGTGTGATGTGTCCGAATCTTTGCTGATGATTTTTGTTTGTGATTTGAAGTCGACACATGGAGTGTTTTATGGGTGAGTTCCGGGCACGGACTTTGTTTTTAACTGAATCCGGTTGCAACAACGGGAAATGACAACTTGGTTAGTAGCTCCACAGCCGGATTCCGAGAAGTTTCTCGAGAATATTGAAACGTGCGAAACGCCAGGGAGTAGGGAGCGTTCGAGATCTACGCACGCGCACGGATGCGCTCTTAAGCACGGACTGAAAGGTGGATGGATGGATGTGAATCAAGCTCATTTTGACGAGACGCGTGAGAGAAATGTTTGTGAGTTGTAATGTGGTTGTGTTGTAACGTGGTTGTGTTGTGTTGTGGAGGGGAAAGTTTGAGGGGAAAGTTTGAGGGTTTTGGGTTTGGGGTTTGAAGTTTGAGGTTTGAGGTTTAAGGTTGAGATGGGGAAAGGGAGAGGGAGAGGAGAATTTCGGGAGAGGATTGGCCGCGTGAGGGTTGGGACTTTGAGGCTGTGAGTCTGTGAGTCTGTGGGGCTGTAACTTTGTGAGAACCTTGGAAGAGGGTTATACTGCAGTAGCTACTAGTGTAGACAAAGATGGAAGGGGGCTTGGTTGAGGAGCGGGATGAATGCGCTGTAAAGGTTTGTGGAAGTGGAAGTGTGAGTAAATGTAAAGGTAATATCAAAAAGGCATGGTGTATTTTCTCGAGATCGAGTCAAATAGGGAAAAGAAGGAAAGGAAAAGAGATGAATTATACTAAACGATCAATCGTTTCGAGAGTATTCTGCTTCCATTTGTATTGTGTTGTATCGTATTCGTTTCGTTGTTCATCATCACACGAATCAAGGAGAGCCTTGAAAGAATCCTAAATTGCAAGTCTGGGTCATGTATCTTTCGTCTTGGAGTTTTATGGTGTGAAGTTTTATGGTATGAAGTTTGGGATTTTTTAGGGTGTGATGTGAGATGATGTGATTTGTCCATGCTTCTGTAGGTATACATGTTTATAGTTGGGCTTGTTTTTCTCTCCTGGTTTGTTTTGTGTGGTGTGGTGTGGTGTGGTGTGGTGTCTTTTGGTTTGTGTTTTCTGGGGTTTGGTGTGTTGTGGGTTAGGTGGGTGGTGGGTGATTATGGTTATGATTATGATTATGATGATATCTCAAGATAATTAAAAATCTTCGGGGAGACACGTTAATTACTGATGCGTGAGATGTTTCATGGTGGTGAGTTTTAGTTTTTGTAGTGGTTTGGGATGCTGCTACCAAGGAGATTTGGGGGGGAGGGGGGGTCGAGGATAGTGAGGGGCGGAATACTAACGCTTGTAATGTACTGGGTTGTATTGATGAATCTGTAATTTGTAGCAGGATATCGGATGTCGGGGTATCGACTCGAGAAGTAGTGTGGCAGATTGTTTTACATGAGATTGTGCGATTCGTATTGGTCTGATGTTTTGTGACTGATGCTTCTTGGCTGATGCTTCGAGGATGAGGTTTTTGTGTGTTTTGTGTTATATATAATTCGGTGTCGGTGTCGAGAGTGGTGTCGTTTTGTTAATTCCTGTGCATATATTATATAAATCATATCAATCACCCCAACTTTCTATCTGATTTTTTCTTTCGTCTCTCTTTGGTTATTTATTGACACTTTTTGAGCTCGAATTCCTATTTGATCTTTTATTTTTGGTTTGATTTTTTCCGTGATATATATATTTATATATATACGATTGACAGGTTCAATTCCATTTACCTAACAACTCTCACAAATATACATACATATACATATACACATACACATATAAACATCTAATTCTCCCTCCACCACACATTTATATATCTATATACTCCCAATCAACCCTTAAAATGCACACCCAAACCCTCTACACCTACGCGCTGGTCGCATTCACGAGTTCCGTTCTCGCGGCTCCGGTAGGAACCTCAGGATCCCTGGAATCCACATCTACATCTGTGGCCAAGAATCTAGTTGCTCGAGAGCCATTTGTGGTTTATGGGAAATCTTTTGAGGAGGAGAGTGGTGCGTTGTTTGGGACACAGACGCAGACGGAGAGAAGAGTGGATGGGTGGGTATTTTTTAATTTTTTTTTGTCAATGTATATGTATATCTATACGTCTCTCTATATTAATGTTCAAAAACAAGGGATATAGACAGAAAATAGAGTATTAGGAAGAGAAAGAAAGAAAGAAACTAACAGAATATAGATTCGCACTCCCGATATCGAAAACAACGGTTATTTAGAGAGGGAATGAGGGTGCTTCGGGTTCACCTCCTAGTGGTCAGTTGTCGGGATCGAATAATGGGAATGGGAATGGGAATAAACCGCCTCCTGGATCGCCTCCTTCGTTGAATGGACCGGGAAATAGTGGTTCGAATGGAAACGGTTCATCGGGACCGTCGAATGGAGGACCCAGTGGAGGATCAGGCGGGAATCAGTATTAAGGAATCAATTTGAGAGCGTGGTAAAGAGTCAGGGAAAACGGGAAGAGTGAGGTTCTATTGAATATGGTAATATTTATTCAAGTTAATATATTATGTTCATCAAGAGGATGACTTGCTCGCTGAGCGTATGCACAAAGTGGCGAAGCAAGCGAAGATCGAAGAGAGGGGTATTTAAATTGTATATAATTTGTTGTCAGGGATAGATGTAGAAATAGAAAACCTAGAATCAGAAAACCATTATCATTATCTCTCTCTTCCATTTAAAACATTTCACCTTCCTCTCCCATCGACTTCCCAATCTTCACCTGTGGAGCATCATCCGCAAATCTCTCATAGATAGGTAAATAGTATTCTGTCGTACTCAAAGTCATTTGAATACTCTTTCTCTCCTCGATAGCCTCGACCCATTTCTCCCATCTTCCTCTCAATTCTCCTAATTCCTCAAGATGCAGACCCCCTTTGAAATAATCAAAGACCCAGATACGGAGTGCCCAGGGCGCGAGGACATAATCTACTATACACGGTTCTTTGCCCGCGAAATAAGGTCCAATAGGATGCATTTCCTGCGTAAACTCATAAAGCGAGGTAAGAAACCTATTGCGAATCTTCAAAAGCCTAGGATCCATCAATGAAACTGATTGATACTGAAGAAATTGATCAAAAGCAGGTACAACACGTGATGTGATGTGGTCGGTCCAAATCTTCAATCTGGCTCTCTCGAATGGTTCGCGAGTGAGTAATCGAGGGTAGTGAGATGGATAGGCGTCTTCGAGGAACTCGCATATGATTGTGCTTTCGTAGAGGGCTTTGCCTTCGTAGGAGAGGGTGGGGATGAGACCGCGGGGATTGAGTTTGAGGAGGGATAGGGGCTTTTGGTATGGGTTTACTTCGATATATTGGAAAGGGATGCGTTTTTCGAGGAGGAGGAGGAGCACGCGTTGGGTGAAGGGACAGAACTGGTGGGTGGAGTGAGTGAGTGAGTGCAAGGTTGTGGAGATGGGAAAGGGGATGGGGATGAGAATGGAAGAACGCATACCCATCCAGCATAGAGCTTAACTGGCTCTTCTTTAGAATGTTGTTTTACCATCTCGGCAGCCAAGCCAGTGGCATGTGGAAAGAGATTCGCATCTGGGTGTAAAGCAGACATGATGAAAAGGATGATTGGTTGATCAACAGAACGGACTCAAGATCAGTGTAAAGGAAGAAAGAAGTGCGAGTATAACCAGAGGAGAAAATTATACTAACTTACTAGGTACTCAATAGATCCATGACTTAGCTGCTATTTATCTGTGTACCTATCTAGTAGTGCAGCACTTGCCTATCTAAACTAAACAGCGGTGGGTTTCTCACCAATTTGGGTGATGAATTCACGATGATGGGAAAGTTGATTTTCCATCCAAATCGGCCACCAAAAAGATTCAAGCCACAAATGTTATAAATGACGAAATGAGGAGGGTTTTAATTGGTTGAGACTATTTAGATGGTGGTAGTTTCCATATAGGTAGGTATACCCAGATAGATAATTAGTTGTAAAACATTACCACCTCCCTCTCGAAAAGAACGAGATTAATTAAGAAGATACAGTCAAGATGAATATATATGATATAGATTTATATATATATACACCCGTATATACAATAAATCCTCGTGAGAAAGTAGTCATGTTATATAAAATCCCTACCTAACCTCCCTTGTCCAGCTGAGAAAAGAGTCAGATTCACTTATCAATTGTGTGGCTGAATAAAACATCCATATGAACAAATAGTGGCGGGGCTATGCGGACCACCTTTTGTCCAACAGACATACATACCCGGACCTACCTAACATACCTTTTTATTACTTACATCCATTTGATTTCCACATCTTCGATTTCAATATCGATTTTGATTTTTCCATCGATTTTCAAACCCCATCATCTCTCGAGTCGCAAATCCCATCACATCACACAAATACAAACACAGTTGCGAAAATGACAGGACCTTCAACGTAACCCCTCCACTTTTCTTTCCCTTTCCCTCTGCCCAACTGTCCATCTCAACCACCGCTCACATGTGAACATTACTAACCTCTTCACCATCCCCACAGACCCGGCCAAGAAGGGCCTTCCTTCGCACCTCCTCCTCTCCCATCTGGCTGGATCGCCCAATGGGATGGCAACTCCAAGAAATACTATTTCGTGCAACTCAGCACCGGGGCTTCGCAATGGGATACACCTACGCACGCTGCACCCACGGGACCCACCCCTCAAGCGACGCCACAGGGAACAGAACATCCATATGGATTACCAGGAGAGAATGGAAGTCAGGGCCATGCGCAGGAGATGGGCGGTGATGGAACCAGAGGATTTGGAGGGGAGAATGCGGGCGGTGATGGAGAGAGAGGTATCGGGGTGAGTTTCTTTCTCATGTGCTTTAATCTGGGATGGTTATCTCGCATCATGCTAATGTCTTATTCGGTACTAGTCTTTCATCACAAACCAATATCTTAAGAAACAAACCGGAGGCATTCTTGGTGGAGGCAGTAGTAGTTCCGGTTCACAAGGTGGATTGGGAGGACTAGGCGGACTCGCCGGTTCGTTCCTTGGGGGAGGATCATCTGGATCAAGCCACAATAATAATAATTCGCATTCGACGAGTGGAGGTGGTTCATCAGGTATCGCCGGACTCGCCAGTTCATTCCTCGGAGGAGGATCATCCGGATCAAGTCACAATAACAGTAATTCGCATTCGACAAGTGGAGGTGGATCATCAGGTATCGCCGGACTCGCCGGTTCGTTCCTTGGAGGTGGATCATCCGGATCAGGTCACAATAACAATTCGCATTCGACAAGTGGAAGTGGTTCATCAGGTATTGCAGGTGCTTTGATGGGCAGTCTATTGGGTGGTGGAAAGAAAACAGATAACGCGCAAAATCAGAATCAGAATCATTCTGGTTCGCAGAGTGGTCAACACGGACAAAGTGGTGGAAGTGGATTGATGGGGAGTTTGGGAGGAATGTTTGGTCATCAGAGTCAATCTGTAAGTGAAATTACTTTCATACTATGGTATTGAGCTAAAAAATTTTTACAATAGCAGGGTGGTGGAAACTTTGGATATTCAAACAATAGCAGTGGAAGCCAAGGAGGCTATTCTGGTGCTGCTCCTCCAAGTTCCTATCAACCAGGTGGTGCAAGCCAAAATAGTTACAGCTCTCCAGCTCCTGCACAGCAATCTTATGGCCAAGGAGCTACACACACTCCGTCGTCACAGTCCTATTCTCAAGGACATGCACCTTCTTACTCTCAAGGATCTGCTACATCACATCAATATGATCCACAAAACCCATCTCATGGCATGCCACCAAAACATGAATATGGCGCTCCAGGTCAACAATCACAATATGGTGCCCCTCAACATCAGTCTTCATTCGGACAAGCACCACAATCACAACATAATCAATACCCAGGAGCTCCAGCTTATGGATCTGGTCCAAGTTCTCCAGGTGGATATGGTGCACCTCAACATCAACAGCATGGACAGCACCAACAACATCAATATGGTGGTCCACCTGGTCCAGAAATGTCAGGAGGAATGTATGGTGGTGGTCCACCCCCTGTACCACATGGCAGCCATCCTCACCATGGTCAACATCAACAACATGGCTCACAAGGTGGTTCATCTGGTGGTTACCCTCCTCCTCCTTCAGGTGGTTATCCTGGACAACCAGGATGGTAATGCTTTTTCTACTCGCGTTATGATATGATGAATACAGGTAGCAATCTAAAAAATATTGGTGTGTTTGGGATGGTCGGGTTTCTTTTGAATAGAATGGATATGGTATCCTGTAAATGTAAAACTTGCATGGCTTTCTTTGATGGCAAATAATTATAGGACAATGATAGCCTGCTGATTATTCATAAATCTTTCTTATGATCCAATTCTTCAGTGCCTATTTTGTATATCCATGTCATGACGTATCGGGAAATATACCAACTGCCAACAGCTAATAAAATTATATAGGCGATTGTTGGTACTAATGATTGAGGTAGGAGATTCAATATGTAGGGATCGAGAATTATATCAATTAAAACGGGTGGAACATTTTCCATCAGAGTTTGGTTCATGGTGTAATAATCGGCTGCTGCATAAATCTGGAGGAATAAAGTTGACGAGGTAGCATCTTTATGCTTGTGTCTGGCATCCAAATCTTGAATTTGGGAAGTGGGATCGGGAAGATCGTTGAAGAGAGGTTGATGAGTCTCGGAATATTGTGCAAGAGATGTAATTAATTCCGAAATTCCGAATACCGTAGGTAGATCATAAGTTTGAAGCTGAAATGAAGTTGGATCCTGGAGGGAAGGGAGGGAAGGTAGAAATTAGCTTGATTCAGATTTATATATATGGAATATTAAATATTGGGGTTTGGATCTTGGGAGTTGTGATGTATAAGTTGTGGAATAGGTGTAAATATGAAATGTGAAATGTGACATTAATACGAGATATGCAAGGTGGAAACGGAACAGGAATAGGGATAGAATCATACCGTAGCAGCCCAACATACTCGCACTTCGTATCGCTGTCCCTCTTTCAACCCATCGAGCAGATACCATGACGAAATCCCATTTTGTGCATCTGGTGTGGGAAACTCGGCGCGGATATGCGTGCGCAGAGTGTGGTGGTCGGGAGTGAGAGATGGGAGGTGAAGATCGGAGAGGGTGGGGTGGGAGAGCGGGATGCTGAGGGCGGAGGGGGCGAGGAAGATGGCTTTTTCGGTGTTGGCGTGGACGGGGGAGAGGTGGGTTAGGAGGAGGAGAGTGAGGAGATTGGGTAGGTTGTGGTGGAGGAGAGTGGTGGGTTGCATCTTGAAGGGAGTGAGTTGGTTGGTTGGTTGGTTGGTGTGATAGATGGATGGATGGATGGTGGTTTTTAGGTTTGGAGCTGTGTTGTGTTGTATTGCATTTTGGAATTCTCGGGTTTGGTGATATGGAGCTGTATGGTGCTGCCGTTGGAATTGTGGTATAGGATTGGGTTGGATTGGATCCGGCCTCGTATTGGATTTGATTTTCCTTCTTTAATGAAGGTGTTGTGCTGGATTTCGTATGATGATATTCATCCCAATTATGAATTTCGACCTCCCAGCTCAGCTCGTCCAGCTACTAGGTATTTACCAATGTTTCTTCTAGAAGTCAGTCAGTCTATCTTGCTCCGTACCTTCCATCGTATCCCGAGGTGTTTCATATTATTCTTTTCCACTAGCTCACCTTTTTACCAATCAATCACAGCGACTAATCCCTTCTGAGCTTAATTGATCTATCAAAGTGGGTAAATTCTAGAAGCTCTGACTATAATTTCCCAATCCTGACTAGTCCGCAAAACGCCAACGCGGTCGCCCCTTTAGATACAAATCCCGTTGTTTATTTTCTCTCCACTTTTTCAAGAAGCGACGACTTTAATTCCTCAACATCCTTCCCCTGGTGCTTTCCTAATTCCCCACTATCAAATCCTCCCGAAAAGTAGCATATTTGAGCAACATTCTTGCAAGAGATTTCCTTGCTAAGACCATCTTCCTCTTCTAAATAATCTCAAATCTACATCTACCTCTTCACCTATTTACTATTCAAGATGCGTGAAGTTATTAGTGTCAACGGTAAGATTCTTCCGACGTGTTCATACTATACACCGCTATAACTAGGGGTTGTGGTGGTATTTTGTAAACAAATACAAAATTGATGCTGGAAAGTATATACTGATATGGTTTCTCTATAGTCGGTCAAGCCGGTTGTCAAATCGCAAACTCTTGCTGGGAGGTATGTTTACAAGTCGACAAGACATGTTATCGCACTGTTGTTGTTGTAGGATGTTGACATGGAACTCGTGTGACTGACACATGTTTTTTCTCTCTTGCAGCTCTACTGTCTTGAGCATGGTATTCAGGTAAGAACCTCTAAGTCTAACAATACCCTTCGGCAGACTTTCGAACCTTTACTTACACCATCTTTCTACAGCCCGATGGATACTTGACCGAGGAACGTAAAGCCGCCGACCCCGACCAAGGCTTCAGCACCTTCTTCTCCGAAACCGGTATGCATACAAGTCCAAGTACATATATTATGATGGGTCAGATTGCTGACAGGATATATCAAATAAAGGTCAAGGAAAATATGTCCCACGTGCGATCTACTGTGATCTCGAGCCAAATGTCGTCGATGAGGTCCGTACCGGTACATACCGCAACTTGTTCCATCCAGAGCAAATGATTACAGGAAAGGAGGATGCCTCAAACAATTACGCCCGTGGACATTACACTGTTGGCAAGGAGTTGATTGATCAAGTTTTGGACAAGGTTCGCCGGGTTGCCGATAACTGCTCTGGTCTCCAGGGTTTCCTCGTTTTCCATTCCTTCGGTGGTGGAACTGGATCTGGCTTCGGTGCTCTTCTCATGGAGCGTTTGTCGGTCGATTTCGGAAAGAAAGTAAAGTTGGAGTTCTGTGTCTACCCAGCACCACAAACCGCTACCTCTGTCGTCGAACCATATAACTCCATTTTGACCACTCACACTACCCTTGAGCACTCCGATTGTTCTTTCATGGTTGATAACGAGGCTATCTACGACATCTGCCGAAAGAACCTTGGTCTCGAGAGACCTGATTACGTCAACTTGAACCGCTTGATCGCCCAAGGTATGATAGTTTTCAAGATAGGAAATTTGCCTCGTGCTAATATTTTATAGTTGTTTCTTCGATCACCGCCTCCCTCCGATTCGACGGTTCCCTCAATGTTGATCTTAACGAGTTCCAGACCAACTTGGTTCCATACCCACGTATCCATTTCCCTCTCGTTGCCTACTCCCCAGTCGTTTCCGCTGCCAAGGCATCCCACGAGGCCAACTCCGTTCAAGAAATCTCCATGTCTTGCTTCGAGCCCAACAACCAGATGGTCAAGTGTGACCCACGTAACGGAAAGTACATGGCTACTTGCTTGTTGTACCGTGGTGATGTTGTACCGAACGATGTTCACGCTGCTGTGGCCACCCTTAAAACTAAGCGTACCATTCAATTCGTTGATTGGTGCCCAACTGGTTTCAAGATCGGTATCTGCTTCCAGCCACCTCAAATGGTTCCTAACGGTGATTTGGCCAAGGTTAACCGTGCTGTGTAAGTCAAAGTAACCCCCTTTTAAATGATTTTGCTAATTTCTATCAAAGATGCATGCTTTCAAACACAACTGCTATCGCTGAGGCATGGTCCGCCCTTTCCCACAAATTCGATCTCATGTACTCCAAGCGTGCTTTCGTGCATTGGTATGTCGGTGAGGGTATGGAGGAAGGTGAATTCTCTGAGGCCCGTGAGGATCTTGCTGCTTTGGAGCGTGATTACGAAGAGGTTGCGACCGATTCTCTTGAGGGTGACGAGGTTGCCGATGCTGAGTACTAAATCATTCTCTCGTTCCATGTGTTTATCTCCTATGGGATCGAATATTTGCAGAGCTTTATTTAGTACTTGATATCGTAGCGTGTGATGTTCTTTGAGGCTTGTTTTGGAACAGGTTCATGTTTTCCGGCAAGCCTATAGAGACATTCCTCCTTTCAACGAATTCATGAAGGAATTTCTCTTGTTTTTTAATCAGAATGCTTTTTTGTAATCCCAAATACCATAAATCCTAGTAGTCAATACAGATACCAATAAGAAAAATCTAGACAAATGTGATTTTTATTTCGAAAAAGGACATTCTTCGATTTTGTGTTCATGATCAATTATGCTAACCAGGAACATGCATTTCCCATCTCCCCCTCATTAGTGATGCATGAAATTGTCTTGTATGTCATACATCTCATAAAGCTGCTAATGTATCACAATGCACGACAATGAACGACAGCAAAGTATAAAAAATGTTAGTTTAGGCAAAGTGATCCGAGATGACAGCAAAATGTGACACGGAAAAGATATATAAAAAGATTCAGCGTGGTTGAGGTTATCCAATCATTCTAAATGAAGTGAAGCAGATGATGGTATGATGGAAATTGATTTGGTGCCGATCCGATTTCTCCGCCTTTCGCTTCTGCTGGCTAATTTAATGTGAGGCCTGGGTTGGCTGTGGCTAATAATAAAGTACTAGGTAGGTCCACGGGTAGGTAGGTAGGTAGGCTCGTAGGTAGGTAGTTATTTGTAGGTACTTTTATTACTTCAGTACATTACCGGTCCATGCCCGCCTTGCCTTGCCTTGCCTTGCTTTAACCTTAGTACCTTAATAACCTTCGCTCTTATTCATAAGTACCTCCAGCTACCATCATAACACTACACGACTTCCTACGCATTAGGTTGAACTTTGAAAAGACCGTCCAACTCCCACGTTTTTTGATATTTACTACGTACGGAAGGAAGCTGCCTTGGTTTTTTGAATTTTGAAAGAGATTTCTCGTATTTGACTTTTCTGAGTTAGCGTCGGTTTAGGTATCATTTACATGCTCCAGGAGCTTCACGATTGTCGCAAGCGGCTTCAGTGATTATTGACAACTTTCTGTTTCAACAACTGTTCGCAAATACTTAGGAGAGCAGAATGGCCGACGATCCAGGTAAGAATTTCTTTATTTTCGGAGCTTGATGGCTGTCGCAGATAGTGTTGGATGGTTATTCAATAGCTATACCTATACGGGATCTGCGGGTGGATGAATGCACTTGCTAACAGCTGTCAGCGACACCAGCCTTAAATCTAAGTCCCGAGGAGAAGCGTGTCTT